CGGCACCCCGATCCCACAGAAAAGAAGCATTGTGTATTTAGGTAGTTCGATTGGCGACGACGGCATAATAGGTTCAGAGCTGTCACGCCGTCTAGGAGCTGCAGGGGAGAATTTGACAAATTAGCCAGGTTATAAAGCCATTCCACTCTCACGCAGCAGAAGAATAGTTATTCAGATGTTTGACTCTAGCGTTTTAAGTAAGCTGTTGTACTGTCTGCACACTTCGTATCTTAACAAGCACGAGCTGTGTCGTTTGGACGCGTTCCAGGCGCGATGCCTGCGCAAGTTGATGCGCATTCCCCATTCATACATCAGCAGAGTCTCGAACGACACCGTGCTTCAACGGACCGGCGCCCGCCCACTTAGCAGCACGCTCCTCTGTAGACAGCTTCTTTTGCTGGGTCATATCGCTACAAAGCCAGGTGACGACGCTGTGCGTTGCGCAGTGTTCCAGCCCTTTTCCTCCCTCCTCCTTCCCCCCTCCCACCCAGAGAAAGAGGGGGCGACCAAGAGCAACGTGGCCCCAGGAAGTTTACAGGCACGCCTGCGAAGCAGCCGGGGGTGTGGAGGCCCTTCCAGCGCTTTGGCAGGACACCATTTCTTCGGCCACGGCGTGGCGTGTCGCAGTCAGCAAGTATTGCGATGCCACGTGATAGTGGCTATGTGCTCATGTGCGTTTTGTACTCAGCATTTGCTTGCTTGCTTGGGCGCATGCGAACGCTGGCATTTGGGCCTCCGGTGGGGCTCCCTGTGGTGCAACGAAACGTATGAGGGGTGTGCCAAAATGGGTGCGGTGGGCGCATGCGAACGCTGGCATTTGGGCCTCCGGTAGTGCTCCATATGGGGCCACGAAACGTGTGAAGGGCGTGCAAAATTGGCGCGGTGGGCGCATCCGAACGCTGGCATTTGGGCCTTCGGTGGTGTCCCCTATGGGGCCGCGAAACGTGTGAGGGGCGTGCCAAAAGAGGCGCGGTGGGCACACGCGAAAGCTGGCACTTGGGCCTTCGGTGGGGCTCCCCGTGGGGTCACGAAGCGTACGAGGGGTGTCCCAAAATGGGTGCGGCGGGCGCATGCGAAAGTTGACACTTGGGCCTTCGGTGGGGCTCCCTTGGCCACGAAACGTATGAGGGCTGTGCCAGAATGGGCGCGGCGGGCGCATGCGAACGCTGCCGCTTGGGCCTTCGGTGGGGCTCCCGATGGTTCCCAGGCATCCTAAGAAAGCTCTAAAGCGTTACCGAGACTTCCCGAAACCCCTCACTCTTCGACAAGGTGGCCCCAAGACCCGCCAAGATGAGTCCAAGACCCAGAAAGGCTACAGAGGAAGCAGGATAACGAGGAGATCGGAGTAAAGAAGACGGAGGGAAAGAGGGACTGACCGGCAGAGGAGGGTGTGGACTTGTCAAGGATCGAAGTGACGAGGGAGCGGGAGCCCATGGACTGGAACATCATATGATTGCGTTTCCATGTGGTGAATCCTCAAACGTCTGCCCTAACCTGGATGGCTATCGATGTGTACGAGATGAATGGACTGCGTCACATGCGACAAATAATACAATCGAACATCGTAATGCAAGTTACATAATGTTTCAGGTTCGCCGTTCACGAGAAGAAGTGAAGGTTGATCACGAATGTGAAACAACATGTGAAATGTGTGGGTCGCGTGGTGAGTCCGCCTATCAATCCCAAGCGTCGTGATAGGCTGTAAATTGCTAGGCGTGTTTCAACTGGCGCAGACCGCCTTAGGGGACGCGCTACGACGTGCTAGCCATTACGTCGCTAGTCAGCCAGTCCTGGCGCATGAGCCCTGAAATATTTCACCATTGCGGCCGGCGAAAAGTACAGACGACGGGATGTGCGAAGTGGTGCTGACACGGTGGGCTGATACAAGCACTAATGGAGCGGGGGGCGGGCAAGAGGATCGGCTTCTCTTAAATCTGTTCTCTTGAAGCTGGCGCTGGGAGGCTGAGATCTGGAAGTCTCCGGAGCAGATCAAAACAGAGGAGGAGGGATGGAAAACAGAGCAGGAGGAGGAGGCCGACGCCGACGGTGACGACGACGGCGACGACGACGGCGGAGGGGAATCCGCCGACCCTTCAGCATGGGAGACGCTGTCGACGTCTTCGTCGTCGTCGTCGCCAAGTCCAAAGAGAAAAAAGAACGAACAGAGAAAATAAACGTCGTAGTTAAGTCCACTCCCTGGGTACGGGGGGGGTAACAGGGGTACTTGGGGGGGGATCTCGGGTCAGATTGCCCCCCGCCCCGCGTTCCCGGCGGGTTCTGGTGGGGGCCCCGTGGACAGCGGGTCCTCCGGGGGTGGTCGCCAACGGGGGTCCTGGGAGAGGTCCCGCCTGCACTGGGGGGGGGTCGGGTCAGAATGTCGCCTCCCCCCCCCCCTTTGGGTCCTGGCGGCAGGGCAGTCCCAGGGAGGCCCCTCCTTCAGGGTCGGCGGCGCTGGCCGCAAGGCATCGACGGCACAGCTTCCAGGAGCCCAAGGGGAGGCAGGCGCACGCGGGGAGGGGCGGCGTCCCGCTACGACTGCGGAGAGCTGAGCTCTGCACTCGAGCACCTCCTCCTCCTCCTCCTCCTCCTCCTTCTCCTCCTCCTCCTCCTCCTCCTCCTCCTCTTGGTTATCATCCTCGTTCTCCTCCTCCTTTCTCCTCCTCCCATTGTTCTCCTCGTTTTCCTCCTCCTCCTCGTTCTCCTCCTCGTCCTCGTTTCCTCCTCCTCCTCCTTCTCCTCCTCCTCGTTCTCCTAGTTTTCCTCGTTATCCTCGTCCTCCTCCTCGTTATCCTCGTTCTCCTCGTTCTCCTCGTTCTCCTCATTCTCCTCCTAGTCCTCCTCGTTCTCGTCGTCGTCGTCGTCATCAACGTCGTCGTCCTCGTCGTCTTCCTCCTCCCTCCTCCTCCTCCTCCTCCTCCTCCTCCTCCTCCTCCTCCTCCTCCTCCTCCTCCTCCTCCTCCTCCTCCTCCCTTCCTCCTCCTCTTCCTCCTCCCCCTCCTCGCCGAAAAGGCCGCGAGAAGGCCGGGAAAATCCTCGACCACCTGGCGTCGACCGTCGGCGGAGGCTTAGCCCCGCGGCCAGGCCCGCGCTCTTGCTCCCCTCGCCCTCCCTCCCCTGCCTCCGCCGCGGCTGTGCACAAACGCCTGACCGCGTGAATTGGAGCGTTGCCTTTGCACCCCCCCCTCCTCGCTTTCCTGCTCATCCTAAGTCCGCCGACCCCTTGTGGGTCTCCAGGCGCGTGAGATTGCCCTCCCCCAATAATGCCCCCCCAGGGAACCCAAACTGGGATTTTGACCCCCCCCTGGCCCCGGATGGCCCTGGACCGAACTCACCCGGGGCGGTCTGGGCTCCCTGGGCTCGCTCTTGAGCTGCACGACAACACTTGACGCCTCCCACGAAGCCGCCAAGACGGTCCACGAGAACCCAAAATCGCCGGAAGATCGTTCCAAGACGCCCAAGATGAGCTCAAAACGGCCCAAGAGGCCGCCAAGACACCCCACGAAACCTCCAAGAGGCCTCCCAAGACGCTCCCAAGAAACAAAGAAACCAAAATCCTGAAGTTTCCTTGGCAAAACGTGCATTTACAGCATATCCATCTTGTTAGCCTTCACGGCGTTAAAAACCGTCAACGAGGCCCCAACGAGGCCCCCAGGACCACCCCAAGACGGCCCACGAGGCTCCCAGGAGGCCCCAAAAAACAACCCTAAAGAACTCCAACGTGGCCCACGAGGCGCCCTGGACGGCCCAAGAGAGCTCCAAGACGGCCCCAAAAAAGGCCCAAGAGAGGGACCACGAACCGCGAGTTCCAGCGCTCCGCCCAACGAAGCTCTCCGGAGGACCCAAGAGGCCACAAGCGGCCCCAAGAGGCCCTCATGAGGCACCCAGGAGGCCCCAAGGAGCCCCCAAGAGGATCAAAAGAAGGCCCAAAATGGCCCCCGAGACCCTTCGAAACTGCCTCGAAGAGGCCCGCGAGAATCCTCGCCACGATTTCGCAACGGACATCCCAGAGCGTGCCACGCACTACCCTGAACTTGACGCTTTCTTGCTATTTTTCCTCGCCCCCGCTTCGGAATTCGGCCCGAACTGGAGGCGCAGTAGTTTGTAGAGGGGTCGGCGAATGTGGCGCAAGCCTATAGAATCCACGTCCAGAGGTGACGTGTTGCCGGAGGCAGGTCTGCGGAGGCGATAATGCAACGTATCCAATGTATCCAATGACTGCACAATTGCTGCAGACTGCATTATGTTACATTATTATGTCTCCCCCCTAACCCCCCCCCCGAGGCCTCGCCACTTCCACCGACCAAAAGTGGCCCCTCCCCTCCTGGGCCTAAAAACCCACCAAAACCTATAGAAAATCAATGAGTTGGGCCTGTTGGCCCTCTAGGGGACCCAACAACGCCTCAACACGGCTCGAGATGGCCCCAAGACGGCCCAAGATGGCCCCAAGACGGCCCAAGATGGCCCCGAGAGGGCCCACAAAGACCCCAAGACGCCCCAAGAGGGCCCCCAGAGATTTTTTGAAGATTTCAGCGTTCCCGCCTATTTCACTCTAATGAATCCAGGACGGCCGAAACAGCCTCCGAAGTGACCCCCAGGCAGCCCAAGAAGCCCTCAAGAGGGACCGAAAACGGCCCAAGAGGGCCCCCAGACAGCCCAAAGAGGCCGCCGAGATGCCCCAAGAGGCCCCCAAGACGGCCCAAGAGTACCCCAAGGCAGTCTCCGAAGGGACCAGACAGCGCAAGAGCGCCCCCAAGACGCCCACACGGGGCTCCGAGAGGCCCCCAAGAGGCCTCCCAGAGGCCCCCAAGAGGCCGGCCCCAACGATGCCTCCAAGGGGCCCCCAACAAGTTCCCAGAGGCCCGACAACGACTGGACTGTACGCGCTCTGGACGTGCACCCCGCGAAGCGAGTGGAATCCTCTCGGGCTGCCAAAGGACACAACGAAGGAACATCGCTGGCTTGTCCAGCAGAAAATGCTCCATCCCCTCTCTCCCGCCCGCCCTCGCAGTAGTCCATGACGATGCACAACCAATCGTCCTCGTGGAAAGTCTCCCGATACCTGCGGAAAGCGAAGTAGGAAGCTCTGCTGTAGAAAACAGGCGCCACGTGCGGTGAGCGCGCTGGTGCCAGCGAAGTGGCGGGGCAATTGCCAAATACTCTGGGTATGTTTGTGCTTACCTCGCACGGTAATATCGTCGAATCCCTCGAGGAACATCCGCTAATGCACGATGCTGCGACATGCCTACGCATTTCCACACTCACACACACACACGCACAACACACACACACACGCACAACACACACACACACACGCGCGCACAACACATACACATAAACACACCAGCACACAAAAACACACAAACACACGCGCGCACACACATACACACACACACGCACACACACACACACCCACACACACACACGCGCGCGCACACACGCACGCACGCACGTGCGCGCGCACGCACGCACGCACGCACTCACGCACGCGCGCACACACACAGACACACAAAATTTACTCCGACGGTAGGACCCCACATGATAATCTATTGAGCTTGCCCCGCGCCCTTTTTCTTTTCGACTGGCGCAAGCCCTGCGCCCGCTTCTGCGTCCTCCTCCTCCCCCTCCTCCTCATCATCATCGTCGTTCCCGCCCTGGTTCCTCAACACAGAGGCCTGCGGAGCCCCAAAGTGACGACAGTTACAAAATGTGGATGGCCCGCTCGGATTCGAACATGACGTGCGGGCCCCATAGGGAGGTAGCTCCCGCCTGAGATTTCCTCAACACCCAGGCCTGGGGAACCCAACCACAAACGACACTTACATGATTTGGATGGCCCGCACGGGTGAGAGTATGAAGTGCGGGCCCCACAAGGAGGGGGCTCCATCCTGAGGCGTCCACAAGATTCACTCACAGACGATGATGCTCCCGTCTGGGACTTCCTCCATGTTCAGGACTGAGGAGCCCAAACGTGACGACAATAACAGGATTTGGATGATCCGCTCGGATGAGAACATGAAGCGCGGGCACCATAGTGAGGGGGCTCCCGCCTGAGACTTCCTCAACACCCAGGCGTGAGGAGCCCAACCATGACGATAGTTCCAGGATGTGGATGACCCGCTGGGGGGAAAACAAAAACATGAACTGCGGGCCCCATAAGGATGGGGGCTCCCGCCACAGACTTCCGCGCAACTCGCTCAAAGACGCGGCCCCCCGCTTGATACTTCCTCAACGTTCAGGCATGGGGCCACGAAAGGGACGACACTTACAGGAGTTTGATGACCCGCTCGGAATAATAACATGAGCTGCGGGCCCCATAAGGAGGGAACTCCCGCCTGAGACTCCCTTGCAACTCACTCAGAAACGAGGTCTCCACAAGACATTTCCTCCATGTGCGAGCATGAGAACCCCAAACATGACGACAGTTACACTATGTGGGTGACCAACCCGGATTAATAGCATGAGCTGCGGGACCCATAGGAAGAGGGCTCCCGCCTGAGACTTCCTCGCAATTCATTCAGACACGAGACCCCCGCTTGATACTTCCTCCATGTTCAAGCATGGTGACCCCCAGCGTGACGACAGGAATTGGATGACCCGCTCGGAATAATAGCATGAGATGCGGGCCCCATAGGAAAAGGGCGCCAGCCTGAGACTTCCGCGCAACTCGCTCAGAGACGAGGTCCCCGCTTGAGACTTTCTCAATGTTCAAGCCTAAAAAACCCAGACGTGACTACAGTTTCAAGACTTGGATGACTCGCTCGGATTAGTAACATGAGCTACGGGCCCCATAGGGAGAGTGCTCCTGCCTGATACATCTTCCATATTTACTCAGGGATGAGGCTCCCGCTCGAGATGTCCTCACGATGAATGTCTACGCGTGTGAGTGATGACGATGGTGGTGGTGATGATGATGGCGACACTGATGGTGATGATGGATCCCGCGAACGAGACGATGATGACGACGATGCTGATGTGTGATGGTGATGGGGATTGTGATGGTGATGATAAAAGCCGACCGGTGAAGGTAATACTGGTGCTGATGATGATGACGATACTGATGATGGTGATGATGATGCTGGTGATGGCGATGGTGATGAAACGTGCAGTCGGATGATGGTTACAGTATTGGTAAGTATGGTGATGATGATGACGATGGTAATCATGGTGTTGATGGTGACTGATGGTGACAGTGTGAGTTCATGAGTGAGAGTGATGATGAGGAGGCTGATGGTGTTATGATGGTGATGGTGTGTGAGTCATTAAGTGAGTGAGTGTGCGAAGAGATAAAAGGAGAGTGTGTGTGTGTGAGGAGGACTGCGCGGGGTGTCCAGAGACAACAGGAACCCCACTTAGGATGTGGGCAACAAACACACACAAAACAAACACCCACACCGCACACACACACACACACCGCACACACACACACACACACACCGCACACACACACACCGCACACACACACACACACGCACGCACGCACGCACGCACGCACGCACACAC